TATTTTCTCCCATTTGGATCAAGCTTCATTTATTTTTTTTTTGATGCTTTCTTTGGCTGTGCTGAAGATTTTGTGTTTCATATAGTCCCATTTGTTTATTTTTGCTTTTGTTTCCTTTGCTCTGGAGGCAGATCCCAAAAAATTATTACCAATGCTGAAGTCAAGAAGCTGACTGCCTTTGTTTTTCCCTAAGAGTTTTATACTTTCAGATCTTACATTAAAGGCTTTAATCCATTTTCAGTAATTTTTGTGGATAGTGTAAGATGGTGGCCCTGTTTCCATTTTTTCGCTTGTGGCTGTCTAGCTTTTCCATCAGCATTTACTGAAGAGATTCTCCTTTCCCTATTGTATATTCTTAGCCATTATTTTGTAAATTGACTTAAGTAACTGATGATATATGCATAGGTTTATTCCTGAGCTCTGTATTCAGTTCCATTTCATCTGTGGGTTTGTGTTTATGTGAATTCCATACTGTTTTGATCACTAGAGCTTTGTAATATAGTTTGACATGAGGGAATGTGATGCCTCCAGCTTTGTTCTTCTTTCTCAAGATTGCTTTGGCTATTGGGTGTCTTTTGTGGTTCCATACAATTTTTAGGATGGTTTGTTCTATTTTTGTGAAGAATGCCATTGGATTTTATTAAAGATGGCATTAAGTCTATAGATTGCTATGGGTATATGGGCAGTTTTAAAATATTAACTCTTCTAATCCATGTGGATGGAATATCTTCCCATTTATCCCAATTATTTTCAATTTCTCTCATTGATGACTTAATGTATTATGGATATTGTTCATCTGAGCTTTAGTGTGCATCAGTTGAGATGAAACAAATGACTACTTGGATATTTTAATTCAATGATTCCCTGTGTCCTTGAGAACCAGCTTTCCCAGTAAGGAAGAAAGGAGATATAGATGTAACAAAAGAGATTCAGTAAAAATCTTAGAGTTCACCAACTGAATTGACTGTACCTCTATCAACTATTGAGTATTTTATCACATATCTAATATCTGGCTCAAGCCAAAAGCAGGGGGAATTCCAATGTTCAGTAAATATTCAATATCACTTCCCACTTTGAAAGAAACCAAGATTTCTAGAGAAATGATTGATTCTAATCATGGGCAGGAAACATACAAGATAAACTGGAAACATCTTACCAAACCAGATATCAAGGGAGCATTCCAACAACTAGGGTCACATTAAAAGGACTTGAGAGTGAACCTGAAGAGGCCCCACCTGGTTAAAGATGAGTCAGTTTGAACATCAACAGAAATAATAACTCAATGTATTAAACTCCATCAAATGTACTTTAATCCTTGATTTCATCATGTTTTAAAAATTATTTCATCATCTTTGGAGAATCATAGGAACCACTGTTATCTTGATGATGGATAAATAAGTGAAAATAAAGAACCATCTGACCTGCCTTTCCTCTATGAACTGTTTCAACGGGTGACCCAACAGTAGATGAAGGGAAATGTCTCTTTATAAAATTAAAGATGCTGACACATGAAAAATAACTGGTGTAATCATTTTTCTGTTCCAAATGGATTAATGAATGGTAAGCATTGAGTATCATTCCTGCTCACATCTCAAAAAAGGCAAACAACCAGACATTATGTGGCCGTTGATGAAGATGAAAGAGCACATCATTACCTCGGGTCTCATCAAATATCCTTATTCTGAGTCTGATCAAGCCTTGAAGACAGCTGGA